TTTTTTTCTGTATTTGATGCAATTCATTATTTCATAATTATTTCAATGTTTAAATCTTTCGCGCGCAAAATCAAGTTCCGGTCCCCCAGCAATGTACATGGCGCATCTCCTATAGGATCACTAATACTTTTTAAACGTAATAATGGTAAAGACTTAACATTTAATTTATCATAATCATTAAATGATGAATACATCAAATAAAATATTTGTAAACGTACAAGGAGATCGTTCTAGAATTTTATACTCGTCACCTAACTAAAACGTCAGAAATCTAGAAAAAAATATAAATTACTAACTCTTGGATATAAAACTATTCATTATTTTTGTTGGCCAACATGATCAAGATTTAAATTGTGTTGTGAATAAATAACAGAAAGTTTACACGTGTTGTCATCTGCACTAAATCTATTTCATATATTAATTTTATTATAATTTTCATACTTTTCATTTTTTTGTTCTCATATGTCTTACATACAATGTTACTTCAGTAATTTTTTTAATTATTTTAAACACCATTTTTGATTTGTATGTGAAAACAATAATTTTTAATGAAATTATAAACAATGGGGGATATGATTGACGATATTATGTGTATTATTAACAAATGTCACCCTATTGAATCGGCGAAATTAAAAAGACAATCCAAAAAAACAGTTTCAAGTAATTCATCTTTAAAGAAAATACAGAATGATATTGAACAATTACTTGCAAAGAAATCATTTATCGCGGGTGGTGTTGAATATAGTAATTTAAATAAAATAATGGCATGTTGTAATTTGAAGGTATTTTTATTTTATAATATAGACATTTTTTTGCATGTGATTATTAATTTATGTATTTAATATATAATAATTGATTAAGATTTTTTTATTTACAAAAGCTCTTTTTTTGTATAGGCTGGGGAAGAAATCAAAGCTGTATATAATCTTGCTGAATCTCATTCAATATTTCTTCGACGACAAATTCTACATAGACATTTAAAAACTAAAATGCGTGAAAAAGTTTTAAAAACACCTCAAGTGTATGGGCTTAAATCTGAATATACAAAACTACATGCCCAAAATCCAGAACCCGAAGCAATTTTATTATCTAATCTTGTAAATCTTCCAAAAGGTAATGGTATACCTTTTTACTAATAATTATATTATTCTTTTAGTATAAGTATATCAATTCACTTTTCTTCTATTTTCAGAATGGTATATTGTACAAGTTACAGCACAATACGAAGACTTTTTGTATTTAAATTACAACAAGGATACTTTTCACTCTATAAATGCCCTACACATTACTATACTTCCAACTGAAAATAGCGTTATAAAACCACTATGTATAACTTTATCAAAACCGCCATCGAATACAAAGTATGATGTATGTAATGAAATTCAAGAAATTTTGGATAAAAATAGATCAAATCTGACAGCAAAATATGCAAATAAAGACTTATACTGGAAAATGCGTCTAAGACAAGACAATAAAATGAAGGTATTTGAATTATCAATGATATAAGTTGTTAGATAGTAGATATAGTTATTATTTTGAAAGATTCACAAATCTTAAATATATTAGTTTATTTAAGACAGCAGTTCATGAATTTGAATTCGCATGGTTGCGTGAATGGAGAATACTTTTTATGGCAGACTTCATCGATAACATGGATGTAGCAGCAGAAATGGAATCAATAGTTGATAAATTAATAACTGATTGTTTACCTTGGTAAATTATTTTTACAATAATCTAAATTTAATTCATGTTTTATTTTTAATTATTTTAATAAACAGCGATTTATGTTCTGTAGTAATAATCTATGCCCTCGTACTAAATGGCTGTTAAAAAAAATAAGCTTGGGTGCATGTTTTTTAACAAGAGAAGAAATAGCACGAGCTGTTAAGTATATCCTTAACAATCAAGAAAAACTGGCAGAAAACTTGATACTTTCAATTTATGGAAAATTACCAAATTTACAGATATTACGAACTGCAAAAAGAAAAACTTTGGTTTTGATCATAGATGAAGTAAATGCATAGCCTTTAACACTTCATAAAAGTTTTGGATTTTGTTAATCTTTTCAATTTAATGTATATATTTTTTATTTTTAGCATTTAGATTTTTTGCCATTTGAATCTCTAGAAATTCTTAAAAATAATCCTGTTACACGATTTTCCTCCATCTATGTTGCATATACATTATTTAAACAACATGAAGATACAATGAAGGATGGATGTAAAATAGTTAAAATGAAAGATAATCTTGGCACATGTATAGTTAACCCTAGTGGCGATTTACTTAAAATGGAAAAACGTTTGGAATTATTTATAAACTATTGGTTAACAAGTTGGAAAAGCTTATACAATAAAAAGCCAGGAGAAGAAATGTTTGAAGATTCATTGGTTAATTATGATATACTTATGTAAGAGTTTCATTTATTTATTAATTTTTCAGATAACTAATTTTAAAAGTTTCATAAACCTGTTTTTATTTAAAGGTACAATGGTCATGGAAGTGGTATACAATATTTACCTGGAGAACGTATAGAAAAACTCAAGGTAAAGGCAATCGTGTTACTGTTTGGATGTAATAGTATTAGATTTGCCCCTGTAGGTGGACCTTTTCCTCCTTATGGTATTATCAATCAATATTTGATTGCTACCAGGTAAATTAGTACTATTTAGAATGTATGTAAAGGATACATACATAAGCATAGTATTATAAAATATTTTAGTATTGACCTTCATACTTTAATATTTTAAGCCCATGTGTTTTGGGCATGCAATGGGAAATAACAGATGGGGACATTGATAAGATGACAGCAAGTTTTATTAGCACTTGGATTCCATCTTCTCTCGGACGATCATGGTCTCACGTAGATATTGATGCTTGGTGCAAAGGCAATTTTAGTTAGTATATAAAATTCATTGCATATTTACATTACAAAGAAGATATCATACATTTACAAAATTAGATTAGAAATTAAACTAGATTTGCGCTTTGGCTAATAAATTTTAAGAAATATACAGTATATATATATACTTAGAAATATATATATTAGCACTATATATATATATATATATATCAATTTTTATGTTACTTATAATAACATTTGTATATTACCAGGATTTCTAAAAGATAGTCAGAAAAAAACAACTAAGATAACAACGGAACCTGAGATGTTGAGAGCAATATCAAAATCAAAAGAAGCATGCTCGCTATACATGACAGCAGCTTCAATAGTTACACGCGGTTTACCGATAAAGCTTGAATAAATGCATTATACACATGGATAATACTGCTGTCAATATATGTATGCACTTTTATTACATTTACTTGTGATGTTTCTTATTTGATTTTTTTTTAATTTGCAAAACTTTTAAAAAAATATAAAGTTTTAAAGTAGAGAAGATATTTCATGTATTATTTTATCACTTATTGTCTAGAAAAACCATTATCTCAAGTCCATTTTTCTCACATGATTATTTGTGGTTCTGGCACAGAACTCGAAATATTTTTATGTGGTAATACTTGACCGCCATTGATATAAAGCTCATCTTTAACTATTACATCTTCTCCGAGAACTGTTGTACCTTCCATTCGTACCCAACGACCAACAACACTACGCCAACCAACGATGCAACTATTCAATGAAAGGTAAATAATAAATTAAAAAATTTTATTGTTTTTTTTTTGCGTTTTATACTCACCCATCAAGCCATGCATGCTCTTTTACTACAGCTGCTTTAAGAAGAGTAGACCTTTTAATACAACAACCATCAGCTAACGAAACACCAGGACCGATTGTAACATTAGGACCAATTCTACAATCTTTGCCAATTTTAGCTGTAGGATCTATTAAAACATTTCCCACTATTCCAGGTCCGGAATGTAATTTTTCAGGAGACTTTTGTCTTAACGAAGCAAGATACATACACATACCTATATAATAAAATATATATAGTGTATATTATATATATACGATATGTATATTTTAGGAATTTAGCCTATTTTCTTACGGATCTAACATCAAATGTACCTTTGAGAAAATCTTTAGGTTGTCCAACATCCATCCAAAAACCTGGTAACTCCATTGCATATAATTCATTATCTTCAGCCATAAATGGAAAAACCTCTTTTTCTATGCTCATAGGTTTTAGCTCTATTCTTTTTAATATGCTTGGATTAAATATGTACATACCTATGAGAAAAATGTGTATCACAGATAACACACAAAATTAATATTTTCATTTAAATGATATGATCAATAATTTTGTAATTATATTTTGTTGCATTATTGTACCTGCATTTATTTTATTTGAGATAAATTCTTGAGGTTTTTCGATGAAACTTTCGATTTTACCGGTTTTGTCAAATACAACTACGCCATACTTTGATGGTTCTTCTACTTTAGTAACAACTATGGTACCTTCTTTACCATGACTTTTATGGAATTCATATAACTGTTTAAATGGAAAATCACAAATAATATCGGAATTTAAAACAAAAAATGGTTCATCTCCAGAACATAATATATCACGTGCTAGAGCAAGTGGACCGGCAGTACCCAAAGGTTCTGGTTCATGGGAAAATATTAAAGTAACTCCTAGTTTCTTAGCTTCTTCTTCCAAATCTTTTTCCATTTCCTCTGCTCTATAAGATACAGCTAATATTACTTCTGTTACATTCATTGCTACCTAAAAAAAAAGAAAAAGAATATTATTTCTTTTTTCTTATTGTTTAGCAATATAAAATTATACAACAATTACAGATCATTAAAAATACAATAAACTTACTAAAGCTTCTATTTGATGTAAAAGCATTGGTTTGTTAGCAAATTCAACCAATGGTTTAGGTCGTGTAAGAGTAAGAGGACGCAATCTGGTTCCATATCCACCAACAAGTATTAAGGCTCTCATAACTTCTATTTTCATTCTTTTCGGATGCATTAGTATATATACAAAACAAGATACTAATATCAAATGTCTTTGATATAGTATCTTCCTCTCCAATGTCTTTATAACGGTAACAACTCGAGTAAGATTTATTTCATAAGTATCTGTCTTTATAAATAGGAAAATAAATGTTATTAAAAAATTATATTACTATAATTTAATATTTAAAATTTAAAACTTATTGTGATATATTACAGCATAGTATATTATATGACATAAATGATATTTATGTTGTATTTAACGATTTTTATCATTTTTTTAAATATTCAAATAAATAAATTACTTATTTGTACTAAGCTTTCAAAATAATATTAATACAAAATATTAATATGGTTAGGTCGCATGTATTCTAAATCATATATTTGAAATATGAATATACATGTGTGCACATAGATAAACAATAAATAACATTTGTTTCGACTTCATTAACAAAATAATATGTAGAATAATCACATACCTGTACTATGCACTTAAAATAATGAAGAAAAAGAAATTGAAATATTTATCGCTGATAAGCATTGCCACGTAACATTAAATTGCAGAAGTAGTTCGTGTATGTAAACACGTACTCAATCTACACATTGACATATTCACATAGAGTCATCATTTTCCTCATCGTTAGAGGAATGAACTTTTTTATACTTTTTTCTACTCATTACATTTGTGCGTTATCATTAATGTTTTTAAATGTTAAATTAAAAACTCGATTAATTGTCAATGCGAACATATATGAGTCGCTAAGCCAACGCGTATTTTCTGCCTCTTCATAGTTGACTTTTTATTTAACTGAGTTAGTATATATTGGGCAATATTTATTAGGCTGATGGTGACATAAATAGTCACTATTTAAAATATAATAATAAGTTACTACTCTTGCATACGGTTAAATTTAAAGAGTCCAATTACCTTGAATCTGATTGTTTTTTTATATCTAGTTATATTTCTAAATAATCATGATTGGTCATTGTGACCAGGGGCGGCTCATGCATAGACATTGCAAAACTACAACACCCCCAATATTTTTGCATGTTTAATTTGTAATAAATTTTGACTATAATTTTGATATTTTATTTAAATATACGTGTATACTGTAATTTAAATGTGTATATCTATTTTAAAAGTGAACACCCCCATGATTTTAAACCACGAATCGTCACTAACTGACTTATATCTGTAGAATATATATACATTAAATCACGTATGTTTTTGTAAATCTTCACAGTTATTAACTCCATGAACTTTCCTATTCTTTTGAATTTGAATATTACGTTGATAGATATTACATTGACTTCATGTACATTTTATTATTTGCACTTCAGTGATGAGCTTAAATCAAAATTCTTTTCTTGACATAATCCCTAACAGTGATTTTAATTTATAATTCTTTTTTTTTACATAACCTCATAGTGAGTCTAATATTTGAGATAAATTCTTGAGGTTTTTCGATGAAACTTTCAATTTTATCGGTTTTGTCAAATATAACTACGCCATACTTTGATGGTTCTTCTACTTTAGTTCTTCTTGGTCTAATTAACAATCCTTTTCTTTAGATTACCTCCAATGGTGAGTATTCTTTACATTAACAGCTATTTTGACTCCTACAGCATATGATATTCATCATTGAAATGTATAGAATTAAGTATAATAATCGAAATTGACATACAACTGACGTATACATATGACCGGTAAAAATAGTAAGAACATATTTTTTTGAATACAAATCAGTAGTGTACGTGGACAAGATATTCAGTCTTATCATAAAGAATATAATGTAGAAATTTTTGATATAAATATTACAGATTAAAATAACATTAATCATACATATAAGTTGTTACGGTAGTAATGCTTGTACAAATCTGTTATCATTTTACTAAATGAAAAAATATATACTACAATATATACTACATTTTAATATATTATACCTTTAGTATGTATAAACAATATATATATAAAAGAATTAAAGAAATATAAATATAATTACAATTTCCAATTAATATTTATAGCTTTGGGCGTTCTAATAATATTTATTGAATAATATAATAAGTAAGAAAGATGCAAAAGTTTAAGCAAGCTCAAGTAGAAAATAAAATGTCTATTAGACGACATTTAGAAGCGATTGCTTCTCTTGATTCGAGTAGTGAAGACGAAGACATTATATGTGAGGAAGATATACAAAGGACGTTAGATGAAGTTTTATCAGCTTATAATGGTGAACGTTTAAACACAGAAAAGATTATGTCGTATTTGATTAACATTTTTCAATCTGGTGGTGCTATATGTTTAATATGTATTTCAACAGTAAAAAGAACAGATCCCGTATGTATCTCACTGTTAATTTATTATTTATATATATTTTTATTATATGTATATATATATATATATATATATATATATATATATAAATATGTATATTTTGATGTATATTAATATATCTTTAACAGATATGGAACTGTTATAAATGTTATTCTTTTATGCATTTGACGTGTATTTTACATTGGATACGAGATACTCTAGCCCATAAACATGAACAAGGAATTAAACCAACTTGGACGTGGTAAGTTGTACTATTATATTTGTATTTAATATTTTATCTAGCGCTGAATAATAGAAGTTAATGTTTGTTAACAATCATTTCATTGTTAGTGAAAATCCGATGCATTCATAAGTAAAATATTTGATATATTAATTATAGAATAAATGTGTTCTCAAAAAAAAAAGTACAAGCTAAAAAGTTAAAAAGAGAAATGCCGAGTAATCGGTAGATGAAGTGTTAAAAATATTTTGCATCTTATTTCCAATAATATTGTAATAAAATGGTATACATATATATATTTCTAGTCCAAAATGTAGAGCAGAATATGAAGAAGATGAAATTCCAAAAGTCTACAAATGTTTCTGCAACAGCGTTGAAAATCCGTCTAATCAAACATGGATTGTTCCGCATTCTTGTGGAGAAACTTGTGGGAAATATTTGGAACCTAACTGTGGACATAAATGTGTATTGTTATGTCATCCTGGACCATGTCCACCTTGTGCAAAAACGGTGGTAATTAATTGTTATTGTGGAAAGCAGCCTGCCCGTCCATTGCGATGTAATATAAGTGGTTGGAGTTGTAATAACATATGCAATAAAAAATACGATCGATGTAACCATACTTGTAAAGAAATTTGCCATGCTGGAGATTGTCCACCATGTATGGAAATTCTACTAACGGATTGTCGTTGTAAAAGTAGTAGGCAAAAGAAAAATTGCAATGAAGTTACTTGGACTTGTAATAAGCCTTGTAATAGGCTATTGTCTTGCAAAATACATACCTGTGAAGGTATTTGTCATTCTATTAACGATTGTGGAGATTGTCCAAAGAAATTTAGAACTTGCCCCTGTGGTAAAAACCGATATACAGTTTCATGTAAGGAACAACAATTACTCAAATGTGGAAATACTTGTGGAAAATTACTAAATTGTGGTTTACACTTTTGCAACATGACATGTCATTTTGAAAAATGCGGTCAGTGCTTGGAGATGGTCAGAAAATCGTGTAGATGTGGGAATTTTACAAAAGAAATAGCTTGTGGGAAAGAATTTCACTGTAATAAAAAATGTACTCAAAAAAGACTTTGTGGAAGACATCTGTGCAATAAAAAATGTTGCGATTGTTTAGTAAAAAATACCTTTAATATATGTGAAAAAGTATGCAACAATCTTCTTAATTGTCAGAAACATAAATGTCTAGCAGCTTGTCATAGTGGACCTTGCTACCCATGCTCTCGTTCTGATATAATTCAATGCAAGTGTGGTAATAAAAAGATAATAGTACCTTGTGGAAGCAAAAGAAAAATTAAACCACCACATTGTAATAAACCATGTAAAGTACGCTCTATTTGTATTCATCCTGAGAGAGAGATCCATAAGTGTCATCAAGGTCCATGTCCGCCATGTAAGAAAATTTGTGGTTTAATTCATAAAAAATGTGGACATAAATGTTTAGCTGTTTGTCATAGTAAGGTTTGGGTCAAAACGAGCTTAAATAGTATACAAGGAGAGCCCAAAGGTCCATGGGAAAAAGAAAGATATATGATGGAATTAAAAACATTGCCTTGTCCCCCTTGTGAATTTCCTATTGAAGTAGAATGCTTAGGTGGACACGAAACACGTACATTGCCTTGTTATATCGCTAAAGCCGATTCTTGTGGAAGACCATGTGGTCAGTTACTAGAATGTACAAATCACACTTGCGAATTAATGTGCCATGATGTAAAATCATCAGAAGGAATGATTGGTAATACACAATGTATGCCATGTGAAAGACCATGCTCGTTTGCACGTCCCAAAGAATGTTTGCATAAGTGTTTAAAATCTTGTCATCCCGCACCATGCGACTTATGTCAACAATTAGTACGTATTTCTTGCCATTGTGGCATCAGTATTTTATATAGACGTTGCATAGATCTAACATCCGCAACAGTCAAGCAACGCGAAGAGCTGTTAAAGTGTGGAAATCAATGCCCAAAAAATGTAATTATAAAAAATAGCTCATATAAAAATAATAACAAGTTTAACTATATTACATATTTCTTTTGCAGTATCCATGTGGTCATAGGTGCAATGATATTTGTCATCCTGGATTATGTAAAAAGCCAGATGCATGTAATAAGAAAGTAAAACTATGGTGTAAATGTAAACGCATTAAAAAGGAATATGTTTGTTCTGTTATACAAGAAAAGAAAATTGTAGTTGAATGTGATAGTGTTTGTCAGTCACTTATTAATGAAAAAGATAAAGCTAACAAAATCAAAGAAATACAACGTAAACGCGAAGAAGAATTACGTAATCAGGAAGAAATCGAAAAATTCCAAAGAAAATTTAAACCACGACGAAAAGCAAAGGATAAATTGAAAAAAGAATTAGCGAATTCAAACGAGGAAAATAGTAAAACATTCATATTGGTTTTGATAACAACCATTTCTATAGCTATTATAAGTATTATTGTAATTTATGCTAACTTAAGTTAATTTAATATAGAAAACGTTGAAATTAGCAACAAAGATTAAAATTAGTTTTTACGATTATATAATTTTTATCTATAATAAATAACTATTGTATATGATACATTTTACTATATATATATCAATAGTTAAGCTATAAAAATATTTAGATTATAGATTTATAATATATAATTTTCTTATTTTAATTAATTTTGGTATCTACACTGTTTGCATTTTTATTATAAAAATATTATTATTATTACTGACTTTTATATACATTAATATTGATCATTATTAATAAAAAGTACCAAAGGTTGTGAAACAGTATAGAAAGAGGCGTGTATTTAAAATAGAAACAATGTATACACATTTTATAAATAGAATTACGTTACGATTATAAATTGTAATAATCTTTTGATTCTCCTAATAAGAGCTTCTATAAAATTACGGTCTACCGTTGAATACTCATTATGTATATCGATCAATTGCGTAATGAAACTATCCGTAAATATAGAAACAAGTCCTTGTTTTAATTCTGTTAAGATTTCTGGTGATATCTTTTTATCCAATATATTATCAATTATATTTCCCGTGGATGCTATAAAAACAATTATACAAATGAAGTATTGCTTTAATCAATGTATCCTCATTAATATATTATTAATGTTTCTTGTCAATTACAAAGCAACGAATTACACACATACCTTGCATCCTCTGATATCCTGACATTATTTGCATTGTGTAAAAATCTAAATGACTCCACAGTAGATATAAACTGTGTTCTATTATAAGGCAACAATACTTTATACTCTGATGTTTTTCCTTCAGCCGTTGATCAATTCGTTGCTCTAAGATAATGCGCTGTTTATCTATATCTAATTCTGCTTCTTCGTCAGTCATATACTAAAAAGAAATAATAAATGTAGTTATTACAAAATAACATCTTTTTGTGATTCTATTAATTCTATATAATTATTCATTAATAATATATATTACTTTTTTTAATTCTGTAGCAGTCATGTCTGATATCATATTTGATTTTGTAATCAAAGAAACAATGTGTGGTAGTTCATTATGAATTAATGCAGTTGTAGATGTGAGTTGTTCAACGATCAATCCTAAATGAACTTCGCCAGATATATCTTTAGTTTTACCTTCTCTTGTGCCTTGTTTCGGTGATAAATAAGGTTCAAAAAGAACATTTCTTACTTTTTGATTCATTGTACTATGTTGCATCTGTTACAAAAAATTATTTATTATGTTATAATTAATCTTTTTATTATATATTAATTACTTTATATATATAAGAAGTGCTTAACAATTTTGTACAAACCTGATTACGAGCATACAATAGAACATTCGCAACTATTTCTATGCAAGACATTTGTTGCTGATCTACATTTGTTTTATGATAATCCAAATGTACAGATGTTGGCTGCAATTGGAATTTGTAAAGTAATGAGAGCATTAATTTTTGTAATCTGTAAAGATGAGCACGTAATTCTCTCATTCCATTATCATCTTCTATCATATCATTATCGCCAATATCGGTAACCGTTAATCCCTCGTCCACTAATTTATACATATCTAAAAAAATAAGTTTAACAATTAAAATCAAACGTGCAACTAGAGTAATACTTTCATTGATCAATATTATTTACCAATATTAGCGGATCTGGATACGACTCCAGTCAAACAAGCAATTTCTTTTAAATATAAAATATTCGCCTTTGAAAAAGCATTTCTTAATATCATTTCTACTGCATCTCGATGACTTTGTAAGAAGCTACAAACTTGTATAGCACAAGATTGATTTTCAGTTCCTAAAGTAGTCAACAATGAACCGCATAAATATAAAGCGGGTAAAAAGATTTGTTGATAACGTTGTCCAATTGGGGGTACAAAAGAATCAAGACATTCAATGTTCATATGAACATCCGGATGTTGATCAAAAACGGACATACTTGACATGCAAGATAAAACTTTACTTTTTAAAAGGCTTTCAGCACCAAATCTTGTTGAAGCCATTCTACAAAATGTTGCTAATTTGGCTTCATATAAATACAAAGGTCTTAATGTTTCAGGCTCTGGTTGAAGCATAAGCCTTAATAAATTATCTGATTGTAAAAGGCTGTCTATCATATGCTTTAAATATCCTCGACTAGTTAAATAAATCATCCATGAATTATCGTAATCCAATTCTAAGATTTTGTCTAAGCAAGACAGTGCTAACATTTTACATACATCATGACCACCAGAACAATTGTGACATAAAACGTCCATTAGTTGATTACCAAAGCTATTGATAACTTGTATTGTGGCATAACAGTGTGAACGTTTGTGAACTGTCATAGATCGATTGAATGAACTGTCCAATTGACTAACATACATTGTATCCATTACAGATGCATTCTCTGATTTTTCTAAACCTATAACGCAAAGAAAGTTTAGAAGTGCAGCATAAAGATGCGTTAGAACTTTTTGTGAGGAAGCACTTGCACTTAAAATCCATTCTAGTACATGGCTAAGAATTATTTTCATCATCGTCGTATTGGAAGGGGACGTCGGAAGTAACTCTTGGTTCGATTGCATTGAAAAATAATTTCTCAAATTGACAAGTAACATCAATACTGTTCCGGACACAAGAGTTTTAATCTCACTTAATGCTTCACATGTTGTCATTTTTTGTAACAAATCATGTGATAAGTTAAGAAGAAGAGTTTGTCTTTGAGCTGCAGGAAGTTGTAAATTTGATGCTACAGAAAATAATATTTCTGTTGTTTGGCACCAGCCTTCTACAAATTTTACTGTAGCATATGATAAAAGTTTAGTTTGATTTTTTTTCAATGCATGAGCAAGTATCGATTGCAATTCTTGTTGCATTAATTTTCTTTGGGTTACTGTTGCACTATTCTGAGTAACCGTTAATTCATCTAAAATAAGAGAATGTAATTTTCGAACGTCGATAAGTTGAGGTCCTCCTATTAAAGTAGATGGAACGCTACACCGACCTAATACCATTTCAATTTGCGAAGGATCAAAAAATTCCCATGACTTTGGTGGCTCTAAGTATAGTTGAAAATCAATATAATGTAGAAGATCCATAAGAAGTTTCTGCGACGGTGAATTTTGATCTTTTTCTTGACTATAATTTCCAACTAAACGCTGAACAAGGGAACTTTGTAAACTTCCACCAGAGATTCGTAGTTCAATAGCAACTATTTTTAATAGCCATGACATACAACCAAGTTCAATTGCTTTATTTGAACCTTGGAAAGGTAATTTTGATAAGTGCCTTTGTACAAAATCTTGATTAGTCGCAGTTCGTAAGAATCTTAGAACTGGTATTGATGTCTTATTATTAGCCACTAATGTGTGCAAGTAACAATAACACATTTCTGTAATCTTATCACGACCGTTATCCAAAGATTGTTCTAAGATACCCAAAACAGAATGCAAGCAAGTTCGTGGAAAACCTAAAATTCCAGGTTGCTGGATAACTGTTTTTCGAATATCCTTAGTGATCTCAAATCCAAGCAAATAATGAGCAAGATTAGGTGCAGGCCGTGTAATACTTTGCATCATTAATAATAAAATTCTTTCTTTGCAATTTTCTACATCTGCTTTTTCATCATTATTTATATCATCCTCATTTGCAGGTGTATAATCCATATCTAAACACTCAACGAAACCATGCCTAATATTCGTTACCAACGAATTAGTAGCTGTAAATGTTGATAATAATTCTAAATCTGCACCTGGTTCATTGGCAACACTTTGTACAACTCCTACTGCGACATACGAATGTCGTGCTAGCCAAGAATTATAAGAGACATAATTAACAATATTTATCATATGATCAGGTTTTCCAGTCCGCATATTAACTCCTAATAATAAACGCGAAAGACCAGTTACGATTTTATTCATACTGGTTGCTGATGCTAACTGTGCCATGTATTGATGTTGTGTTTTCAAAGTCCGATCTAATATTTCCAAACAGCACAGCGTACTATATTCCAGATATTTTTTCCCAGGGAAAATATCATATGTATCAAACTGATGATATCCTTCATCAAGAATATAGAGTATTACATGAAGTAATTCAGAGTTAGTAGAATGTAATTGCGTCATTAAATGATATCCAGGAGCAGAATTGATTACAGTCATATCACCTCCTTGTAATTCAACTTTACATCCCATAAAATCTTCTAAAGATGGCTCGTATTGTTTAATCAATTTAGAAAATATTTTCAAACATCCATTCGCAACTTTCCATTTCTCCGCAGCATTTTTATACGAGCGTGTGTGAAATCTTAGAAATACGATATTAATAAGGAAATGTAAATAAGGATCAAATCCTGGATTTCGTTGTCCAACACCCAAAAGACGTGGAATTGGATAATCTGTCAAAATATCTAAAAGTTTTAACATTGCTCGTGTCAAAGGATATTCTTCATTTCTTGATTCAATTTCTTCCAATTCTGTTTGTACTCCTCGTGGTTGATAACTACTAGTTGTTGGTATAGTCGAAAGAATTTGTGCAGCTTCTAAACTTTGCCAAACTGTAGAAGAACTGTCTGGTGATCTTGCTAATGCAGCAAGAGTTCTTATTAAAACGCCTTTTAATGGAATTGGCATTGCACAGCTAACCAATCCTATTAGAGACTGAAGAACTTTCCAATTTGGATGATCACATATCGCTACTCTGGACATCTCATCATATTTTGCAATTATTTGTACGACTCTAAGCACAGCCTCTAATCCTTTAACTTCGTGAGGTGTGATACCTTTCGGGTGACTTCTTTGTCTATATACTGTATCTTGACTTGGTGGTAATTCTTGTCGTAAGTTATAATAATAGCGATTTAAAGAATTAAAAAAGTGATCCCAGGAAATTGTTGACGAAGTTGAAGAACCTGTTAAAATACAAAAAATGATACTTTTTATCTTTTCATATAGGATAAAAATAATAAGAAAGTATATCTTACCATTTGGTTTAAGAAAATTAAATGCTTGACGTGCAGCTGGAGGTGACGAAGCAAGGGATGCAATCATTTTAAGATATGATACAAAAAGACCAGCAGGAAGAATTTCTCCAGCTAATCGTATAAATTTAAATAAAGCAACTTGTCTAGGAGGTAATCGTCCAATATGTACAGAAGCAGAAACGTGAGTTGATTCTGAATGTTGACACCAATAATCCATAGCTAAATTTAATTTTAATGGATCTTTCTTGTATAGCTCAGCTATCGTCAGCAAAAGATACTCAAAGTGATTGTCTAAATTCATTGGTGGTTCTACACCTTCTTGCTGATAAGCTTGTATCAAACGCATTGATTCATCTGCTCGACTTCTCAATTCCTTAATTTTCAGTGGCATTAATAATATAAAATCAGAAAGAAGAGTATGAAAATAACGCATATAAAATTCCTCATGATGTACAGAAGTATTTTTTAATAAAATTTCGGCCATGAAATGGAAAACTTTATTAGATAAAGCTGTTTCAACCAAAATTTCATCGTCATTATTAATATGCTGTGGTTGATAAGTGTTGCTTATAGTTTTTAAAGTTGTTATGGCAACTGCTAAAGCAAATTGTACAAGTCCGCGCAATCCTGTACTTTCCCAAGTAATACTATTGGATAATATTTTTTGTTTTACATCATCTAATGCTCCTCTCTCCGTGATTAAAGGAATAGAGCTAATTATATCTGAAAAAACGTTTTAATAAAATAATATTCAAGAAAAACTTCATATTATCGAATAATAGAAAACAAGTTTTAATACCTTCACCATTTTCTCGATTATTTAATGGACTAAGATTTACAGCATATAATATGGCCATAATGAGAGCTAATGTTACTTTATCGGGACCACCTTCTCCAGCTTCAGATTCAATTTGACGTGATTGTAACACCGACAATAAACGAAAGAAAATAGATTTAGGTAAAGACGATTGGGCAGACCACAAATATAAAATATCTGCTAAATCTTGTCTAGTATCATTATAAAGTTTCATAACCATACGATGATGCTTCGCTCCTCCCAATGCTCTATTTTGTTGTAGAAGATCTTGTTCCTGTTAATAAGTCAAATAATATTATACTTTATATTATATCGTAATTTATAGTAGTTTAAATGAGTTGTTAATAAAAGTAATTATATTTCCATCTTACCTGTATGGGATCCATATCTTCTAGTAAAGTAATAATTCTATCTAATAAACCATCTTCTTGTAATTTATTAGTATATTCAGTAATATATTTTGTAAGAGTTTGTGGTGCATCGAGAGCCCAGCTATTTCCCATTCTAGCTTGCACTAAGGTCTTTAAAGTAGTAGTCAATGCTTTCCTCCCATCATAATACAAAAGTACAGCAGTTAAACCTCTGGTTAAACCAGGGTAATGTGGCATTTGAAGTTGGGCAGTACATAAGAGATCTAGAGCCATGAATTCATTCAAGTCATACATATCCGATATAATTAAAGTTTCATCTACCAATTCTTTTGATAGTACTTGATGTCCTAGACCAGGTAATGTTATACCATCTGTTACGCCTTTCTTAATTTCATTGCGGCTATTAATATTTTTTGGCTGATGAACAAAAAACACATAAGTTAATTTATATTAATTTATATGAAATTAAATTATTACTTTTTTAATGCTATACTTACTGGATTTTTTAAGAGTGTAAAAAAATTCTGTCTATGATTTCTCAATGCTTCTATGAATTCATGATACTGAGGATCATGCATACTAGGTGCAATTGTAATGCATCGTACTACAAGATTTTGTAATTCTTTATATGGTGTCCATATATCTTCGGTACTCGTTTCTTCTATACAAAAATTTATTATAAATTATTAGAAACGGACATACATAAGTGAGCGAATTGAAAACTATAGCCTAGCCTAGACTCTATTTCTTTTTCAATCAAACTCACTCTGTCTTTAAACCAAAAATAATACAAGTTTATTATTGAGACTCAGAACTTGTCAACCCACCTACCTACGTACACATGTACACATATGTATGTATTTAGGGTTTCCTATAACCGATGATACAAGCAAGCAGAGCATGATATGCATTCACTTAATCAATTTTCAAACTTATTTTTCTCTAAAACAAAGTTTTATACGAACAAATTATATTCTATATTTTCGATTTAGTTTTTTATGTAGAATCATCATCTGCTCGCTTGTACGATAGTATAATAGTAATGTACAATGTAATTGATAAATTACAAAAAATTTAGCATATAATTGAGTTATCAGATAAACATGATAATGTAACTGATATTAAAAAGTTTGATACAAAAACAAGATTTTTTTATATTTGTAAATTACACCATAGTTTTTTATTTAGTCTAAATTAAATGATTAGATAAAAACATATAACAATATAAATATTAGGTTAGAATTTATACTATGGATATTCTTACAAAATCTACAAACAAATAATTACCTTCTGACATTTTGGTGATTTATATAAAACGATTTATAAACTTTAAATTATTTTTAGATAACACCAGATATAATTTTAATAGAATATTAACGTTTTTAAAAATGTTGAAACACCGGTATTAGAGCGTGAACAGAATTTGCCGCACATTTAACTTACGGCCATGATTTCAACAGAAATTTGAACGTTAATTGGTGTAAAGTAAATATGTAAAGCTATCGGATCTCGTATAGGAAGTCAGTCAGTTAACATGCAGCAGGTACGAGGCGTTGGCGGGAAAATAAAAAATTCTCCTGATCACTTAAGCTATTTTAAAAGAAGTTGACGTAAATTTGCGAAAACAAAAATAAATGATTACGTAGGAGACGGTGAAGTGTAATTAATAACCTTATTATAATACGATAAACGTATATTATAGATACAAAAGTTTTAAAGCTATAGGTTTAGTTGATATATTTTGCATGGAGGTAAAATTAGCGGCTTCCTATTGGCTGCTTTAAGCATAATTAGTAGAACTCGAGGCGCGTACTGTGCTCGTGGTGGATGTTGAAAATAATTATAATCATATTAATAAGTATTAATAATTTATAAAAAATTCTCACTTCTTTTTCATTCGTTCTAGAACTTTCACGAATATTATCTTCAATAATTACATTACAAAAGAATCCATATTTAAGCGCGCAAAATGATAATAGTTTCATGATTATGTAAATAATTATATTATAGAAAATTAATATTAAATATATTTAAATTTTCCGCCAGAAATATCTTCCAAGCAAGCAGACCTGAAATTTCAATTTGACAAATAAGGTTCTAACAACAGGCAGCACTGGTCACTGGTTAACTTGACGAATTTTACTGCCTTCAGAAGACTCTATTTTCAAAATGGCAGCTATAAAAAGATTGCAAAAGGTAAATTAAAGTTCCTAACAATATAAGAATTATTCTTTAGATTTGATTGTAAAACAAAAATAGATATATTTAATATTAATTAATAATTTCTATAAATATTACGAAAATGATATGATATACCTAGTATATTTCCTTTGTAGTCCTTAGAATTGTTCGACGCCGTTCAAAAAGTTAATAACATTGTTTTATATATTATCATTTAATATGAACTTATTATATTTTATTATTTACTATAGCTAATTTTCATATTTTTCTTTATTTATGACTTTCTGTCTAAGAAATAAAAGGTTTCATATTTTCTTGATCTACGAGTTAAATTTAATATTAAATGTATTAAAAGAAGATAGTATCTATATCATGAGATAATAATATGGACATTTTATCTTTTCCAGGAATTAGGCGATCTGAGAGCCTCTGCTATGAAAAATTTTACAATTCAAGTAGATGAATCAAATATTCTTACTTGGCAAGGACTTATATTGCCGGTATGTTTATACTATTTATTACTTTTTTTTATTATTAACCTAACCTTAATTAAATATATAAACGTAAGGATTTGTAGATTATGCAAAATCATTTCACATTGTGATTTTTATTTCAGAATTATGTTATCTTATGATGTTGTTATAAATTTTATCGTTTTAAAATATCAATCCATGAAACAATTGCCAATTACTGACCAAAAAAAGAGAAATATTTAATTTATATATCTTATAAATATATATACATAAAATGCAAAAATAGAAACATAAGTAATTTTATATTTAATATAATTTTATACTTATATTTCTATTTCTATATATATATATATTCTTATAAACATATTGTTTGTAATAATTATATACGTTATATTCATAGGACAATGCTCCTTACAATAAGGGAGCATTTCGCATCGAAATTAATTTTCCTGCAGAGTATCCTTTTAAACCACCAAGGATAAATTTTAAAACAAAGATTTATCATCCAAATGTAGATGAAAAAGGACAAGTATGTTTACCGATTATAAGCGCTGAAAATTGGAAGCCAGCAACAAAAACAGATCAGGGTAAGATTAATATTTAAGAAAGAAATAATCATCATTAACCAAAAGAAAATTAATTTATTTTTTGATAGCAGTTTTACAAATACTTTTTCTATTATAATGGAAAAAAGCAAATAAAATATATAAATAAATGAATTGAAAGAATTTAAAAAGTATTTACAACTTCATGTTATTGTTTTACAGTAATACAAGCTTTAATAGCTTTAGTAAATGATCCAGAGCCAGAACATCCCTTAAGAGCAGATTTAGCTGAAGAATTTCTTAAAGATAGAAAGAAATTTTTAAAAAATGCAGAAGATTTTACAAAAAAACATGCAGAAAAAAGGCGAGAATCATCATCCTCAAACGAATAATCCCAAATGGTAGGCCTTTCTCACCACGATGCCTGCCACCTCAGTTAATTCATTGCGAGTCGATTTATGCCGGTCTGTCATATGTGGAATCGAGAATGCCCGTGTACAGTATTGGTTGATAAGGAGGATATGAATATATGCAATTGTAATGTTTAATAAGGTGGAAAGAACTTTTCAGAGTAAAGTAAATTATAATAAAATAACTGTATGATATTGTAAACAAGTCTTATATCGTATTTTAATTCTTAAGTTTGGGTAGATTATCATCATAATTACACGCAAATTAATTTCAAAGAATTTAAAAATATCAACTCTATCATATATTACATTTCTCAAATTTTTATAGCATGTATTGAAATGTCGTATACTATATATCGAAGACTTATGGAAATTGAAAAAAAAAAAGAGAACAAATATTTTGATGAAATATCAATTATTGACAAATTTAAAAGTAATTATAAAAGAAGAGGGCAAGCACATGCTTTCCTCATTTCTAACAAGATTTTTTGTTTATATACCTTACGTTCCTATTTATTTTCATAATTATATATATGTGTAGCATTTGGAATAGTATAATTAATTTACTTTATTCAACATTGATAAGCTTGTATAAGGCAGACTTAAGTAATATCATTGTTTGCAATTATTCAACGTTATTTGTTATATCAGTGTTTCTCAAATAGTAAAACTTTGAGGGTGCGCCATACGAGAGTTCAAACAAAAAAGAAGAAAAATCTCTTCAATACAATTCTGAAGTTCTGAAGTATGGGTCAATTAATCTAAGACATTTTGTATCGAATTTATAAATACCAAATTTTATGTGTACATGATATGTTCATATTTTTTTTATTCCCATTGTTATATAATATATATATAATAAATATTATATATAATTATATAACACATATATATATATATATATTAAGAATACACCAGTTACATATACATGTCCAGAGTATACATAAAATTCCAAAATTTGAGAAACACAGTTTTAAAGAGTTGTTTAGGTAATTGATATTTATGATAGATACTCGTCATAAATTAGTATGACTTATATTTATATTAATTGTCATCATTTTAAATGGTTTCTCTAACTTTATCTTTGCACTGTTATATCCAGCACATAATGGAGATGATAATATTATAAACTCATTACATTCTTTTGATATTGAATAATGATAATTTTTCTTGACTATAGTTAACGTTTATTTAAGAATAATTGCAAACTATTTCTATATATATTTATGAGTGCTTTCCAAAAAGTCTACTTTTATAGTAGAATTTACAAAAAAAACTCACGTGAATATATAAAAAGAAAAGATGGTATTTAATATTACAATATGACGTAACATAAAAAATAAGTATACTTCTTTATATTATTTAAAATCGTAAATGAACTTTAAAAAAATATATATATAAATATATATAAATACACAAGAATAATAAGAACATTAAACTTCCGTAAAACGTGTATTTTTTAAAAATAAGAACTATAGTTAGAGATAATAATATACAAGCAGAAACTTTTTCTATCGAAGATAAAAATAAGGATGCTATTGAATATAGTTCCCCTTGCCTCCCCCCCCCCATAAAATAAGTAATATCAAAAACTATATATGAAAATAAAATTGTATGTTAAAAATGTAATTGTAACAAATAACATCTTTATACTGTTCTCATTGGTAGAAACTTTCAAAATCTATTACATTTTTTTCCAAAATTTTTTAATATAAAATCAGTAAGTTATAAAAATGTGTATAGTACCAGTAGAATCGTTGTAAGATTTTTTGTTTTCATATATTATTTCAATATTATATGACATTTATATCAGAAAAATTATTTCAAGAATAAATAAATAAAAAAAAGAAAGGAATTATTTCTATCCGATAAAATTATTTATTTATGAAGTCAAAATTACGTAATATATTCATACTTCATAAAGAAGTAATAAATGTTACAAAGAAGATTTGTAATGTGTCCATTACATTTAGTGTTATTTGATTGAACAACTCATTGGCCTTTTATTTTTTTTTTGTTCTCTCTTTCTGACTTTTTACATCGACTGAAAAGATTAAATATATAATTACCAATACTGAACAACACATGTTTCAGACATTGAATAATTAATAAGGATTAGAAAATTCAAACGAAATAATGTAAACATTGTATTAATAATAGGAATTAATTTTTAATTTACAAGTATGTTAATTATCCTTATCTTTTGTTTAACTAATTTTTCGCAGAGATGCGTTTTTATTTTAAGTTTATACAAAAACTAGTATATTGAAGAGAGTTAGGTAAATATATTATATTATGAAGACAAAAAATCTTTATAAAGATTTTTATTTTTTACTAAGTTTTTATTTTATTTTTTTTTTTATTTTTTTATTCCTTTTTACGTAAGAAAGAGAAAAACTTATATTGACATATTAAAATTCTATTGTAATAAATAAAGAAGGTAATATAAATGAAAATAAAAAATATGACATTTGCAGATTTGCTTCCTTTTTTTTTTTCTTTTCTTTTCTTTTTTTACTTTCTACAATACATGAGCCGGGGTAACATTGTTGAGTGTTCTGTATTTATTTTTTTTTCTTGTCTTTTCTCATTTTAAAAATTCCTCATTTTAATTCAAGCTCATGCGCGTATATTTTCCATCTTAACACAATTCTGCATGTCTTACACAGTTTTTGAAGATCCCACATTTTGGCGTACTACACAATAAACACGTTGTAATGTATCGAAGTCGATGAGTAATCAAACCATTCTCAATCGATAAGCTGGGTGGAAAAGATTAACGACGTTAATTAATTAATGGAACTGGAACAATAATAGCATGAATTATTGTTCAACAATGTGATACACGTGAAAGCACAATGAAAAATTACAAGACGTATTTACTTTTTTTTTAAATTTTGTTTTCGTCTAATTTTTTCATATTCATTTATCCTGAAAGCTTTGATGCTTAGGATATACGCACGTGTACTCTTTAGAACAAGGTACTTCATAATTGAAACTTGAATAACCCGTGTGACGTGGTTTGGCGTATTGATTATCTTATATATAAACCATATATGAGGACTAATAGACACAGTAATGTTTAAAAACACACAAACAAATAAATAGATATTATTAAACTTCAACGTTAACTTATTTAGAATTTCAAGTGATTTATTTCTACAGTCTGTTTTTCCATTTTATTTTATATTCATAATATAACTACATGCGTTTTTGATATTATGTATATATATTTATATTTATATTTATATTTATTGGCATTTATTTGTCGTAAAAGAATATTGGCATTTTTATTTTGTTTTAATAAGATTTGAATATCTAAATCTTAAAATACATTATTATTTTCTTGTTTTTTTTTTTTTTTTTTTTTTTTTTTTTTTTTTNTGACGAATTGCATGCAAGTATACCTATTACATAATATTTAATTTGATAACGTATAAATAGATCTTGAAAGAAAGAAAATAAGATTTAGAGTCATTGAAAGCAAACACATAAGTGGTCAATCATTTTCTTGTTTTTGTTTTGAAATAATTCGCAACAATTTTGGGCTTAATAATAACATCTTGAAATATGTAGGATTTCTATTTTTTTTGCTGTATTACATTGTTTTTGTATAAGAAATTAAATTTACATATTTTGGAGAATTCAAACTTGATAGAATTATCGAAATAAGAACAATATTTATTTCTTTATTTTTGAATTCCTACTAAAGAAATTCTCTTCTCAACTATGAAAAGCAAATATGTAGTAACGAAGGATGATCAGGTGAATTTGAATCGTACATTTATTTCATTTGCTCCGCTAATTTTTATCTTTTATTAATTGTATTGTTTTAATACGAGAATCCTTTAATCACAGATCTCTCGACTTTTGATAATATAATACTGATAATCAGTATGTAATACTGAACACATATTACATTTGTTTTTTAAATAAGATGATGTACGTAAAATTTTCTTTTTATGCTTTGTTTAATTAACTATAATAATTAAAAACAACAAAAATATAACACATACAATAATAATATAATATATTATAATCCTTATATAAATTTTACATTATTTATTTATCAAAATGGAATTAGAAATAAACTAATGGATGTTATATCATTTACTTCTTTTGGCATTCCAAATAAAAGAAAAAAAGCATGTAAAAAAAGTAAATAACATCTGTGCGAAATTTGATATATTACAAATTGGTGCTTTCAACGTGCATCGATTTTTTTCCCACCAAACTAATCAATTTTTTAATAATCTATTTCAATATTTTGATATTTTATTTAGGCATTCATTAACCAACGAGAAACGTCTTTCCTTAACGCAATGATTTGAATAATATATTTTAAATGAATCATACTGCACTCAAGTTCCACTTTAAATTCTAGATTTCTTTTTTTAATATGTATCTCATATAACTTTATATAATTAATATATTAACTCTTAAGTTTATTTTACGATAATACCATATTTTGTTAAGTCATCAAGACGGATTGCATTGAGACGTTCATAAACAAACGGTATTATTACAAACTTTAATCTATTTTCTTTTTTCTTTCTTTATTTATTTTTTATAAATTTGTATCTGTATATTTTTCTTTTTTTTTTTTTTTTACTTTATTTACAACTATTTGCATCGTATGTTATATGTTCTTTTTCTTTACAAAAAATAAAGTAAACAAATTAAAAAAAAAAAAACAAAGAAAATATATTTTAACATTTTTATCGATAATAGACCAATTACAACTTTGAAATAAGATGTATCAGGAAAAAAAAATATAGCCGCTATAATAAAAGAAAATGAAATTGGCATAATTATCATTTACAATGCCGTAAGTACAACTTCTCAACCTAAAATATAAAATGGCAGTTGATGTTACAGAGAGAAGATCATTTAACAAAAATCTATTTTAATAATTCGCAAATAAACATACAGCCCTCTACTCTAAAGAAAAATGTTCCTTGTTGATATAGAATGCCAAATATATAATTATTACATGGAGAAAGCAATAGTAGTGGTAATGAATCTTACACATTATAGATGATGGTGGTGGTGGTGATGGTGAGAATGATGAAAGTGTTTTGATATATCAATAATAATAGAAATTATTTGTTTAAAGTATAATGCATATAATGAATCGATGATATAATTAAATGGTATACATTATTACAAATTACTTACACTTTTGTACAGTTCCAATATTTGAACTCAGCATTAAGCAACGTACGTATATACTTTCCTAGAAGTACAAGAAGAAATACAAAATAACAAAAAGTTAAATGATTATTAATATGATTAAATAAATTACGCTATAAATATATTGCACATACCTATCTTCCGTCGTACGAGCTAAGTACTCTCGTTCAATCAAACCTTCGATACGCTTTTTAATAATAACAGGGGATGGCAAAAAACGTACTTTCAGTTGTTGCGTTACTTCAGTTACGAGTATATTATGCTAAAATATAAAGATAATTTTAAATTATTTATTTGGTGTCAAACTGGAATGCAAAATTTTTCAAAACGCCAAATTACAAACCACACTATTATACATACGTATCTTAACGACGAGTTTTATATATAGAAAATTGATTATATTCACCGGCATACGCTTTCGATCCTTCATGATACGAACAATAGCTGCTTCAATTTCATGCTTCCGGTCTTCGTCGACTTTATTACGCATTTCTCTTCTTTCTGGTTCTGATTCTCCTTTTGCTGCCACAGTTTGGATCTTAACTCTTTACAAAAAAGTATATGTTTATTAGAAGTATAATAAATGACTTATGTTTATTATTTTATGAAATTCATACTTTTTTATTAAAGTATAATATTTATGAAAATAATACACAAAGTAATTAATTTTTAAGGCACATTGTCTATAATAAAATAAAATAATAAAAAGTAATATACATATGTAATATAAATACAAATTTTTATAATTAAAAAATCAAGATATCATGCAATAAAGTTGCTGCGAACATAACTGTAAATTCAAGGAAGTTCTCATATTTGCTTTTATCATTAATTAATGAAATATACCTGTGCAATTTGCTGGAGAAACTATTATTTACACCGAAGGTATGTGAAGGTTCAATTTCTTTGGTTCGAGGATTTTTGATTAATACCCTCTGTGACGATTTGCCCATTGCAAGAGATTGTAGAGCTCTAACCAAGTCTCTCTCTGGAATATCGGTTTCACCTTGAATTTCCTACACAATGTATTTTAATATATATGTATATATATATATCTATATATATATATTTACGTACATATGTACATACATACATAAACATGTATATGTATGTGTTTGTATACATGATCGTTTTGTATATTCGTACAATATTAATTAAATATTTTAATTTTATAAGATACATTATAAAATTAAAATATTTATTTAATTTTGAAATTATAAATGAAATTAAATAAATAAAGAAAAAATTATATTAAATACTAACTTCATATGTCAATGATTCTCTTTTGTTGAAAAGCATCAACACACACATTTGGTAAGTTGAAACTTGAATTATGTGCTTTCTTACACCGCTTGCACATACGCTGCTTCTTTGACTTAATAAACTATTACTGCCATTATTATTTCCACTTATAATGGAACCAGAAGAAGATGGCGTATCCAATCCTATTCCACAGCTACTCTCTTCTTTTTTCTGTCCAGTAAATATAGCATTTAAATCTGCAGATCCTGTAAATAATTTATATTAATAGTATTTATCTTTTATTTATCAGAGTTTTAATCATCTTCGTTACTATAGTCATCTCTAAACTAAGTGAAATAAAAAGTACCAACCTAATTGTGGTTGCAATGTCAATTGACGTCCCGTATGCTTAGCAAGATAAAAACGTCTAAAGGCATCAAATGCACCTCGTGGTGCAATTGGTAGATTACATTTAGGAGTAGCAGATTGTGTTGGCCAAAAACCAGTTGTGAGTACTCTTACACTTATATCCACACCGTATAAATTTGTCTTTATTGAGAATATAAATAAATAGAATTAAAACTAATAAGATATTCAATGAATATTGAAAGAATTATTTATAAAGTCTTACCCCAGAAGTAAGAACGTGATCCTTAAATTCGTCCATAATAGTGTTGCTAACTGTTATATCCTTAAACATGCCTTCTAATTTAGATGTAAATTGGCATCCACATTCAGTCTATAATATATATTATATATATATGTGTATATATATATATTATATTATATTATATAATACATATTTTTAAAAAGTAAAATATGTAATATATATTATATTATAATATAAAAATAAATATACAAAAAGAATATATATAAAATGATTATTAAAATATATTGTATTTAATAAATTATTAGAGTATAGAGGAAATTGAAGGAAAGATCATTAAATTAGTATAAATAAAATATTATTAATACCTTAAGTTTAGATATCATATTTTTTTCACTATCATCTGATACTGATTTATTTAAAAGAAGCCGTTTTGCTAGATGTTGTTTATAGTACCGTTCAAAAACATCCTTCTCTTGAAGAAATCTAAACAAAACCATTGTTTTGTCCAGGATACCTTCAATTTCTTGTTCAGTCATCTAAAATTTACAATTATTTCACATTACAAAATCGTAATAATTAAAGAATTTATCATATAGCCAGTGTAAAGGAAAACTAACCCCTTTAGAACCCTTTTTCAATTTATCATCTATAAATAGAGATAAATATTCTGGACTTTTAGTATTTAAATTGAGGAAGTATTCAAAATCTGAGGATATCATTTGTTTAAAAAGTTTATCATTATTGAATGAATAATGAAGAAAATGATCAAAACGGTCTTTTAAATCCAATAAATTCTGCACAAAGTGTACAGCATTTGTTGTTGATTCGTGCTCCTCTTGAACCATAGCACGTCCTCGTTCTTTAAGGAACTGAGATACACAATCAAAAACTGTGCGTAAACCATCTGTTACTCTTGAGAATAACTTATACATACAACTAAGATCTTCTGTTTTCTGATTTTTAAGCATGTGTACTACACCACTGTTCTCCATCTGTTAGTGAAAATAAAAGTATTAATATATACTCTCTAATTTGCATTAATAAGAAAAAGAAAAATAACTATACCTCAACAATAGTTTTCATATGGATTTTGATTAATTCTTCTTCTACAACTTCAACTATCCGTGGTTCCGTAGACTCATCTAAATAGTGTTTTGCTCTTTCCGATTCTTCATAAATTCTTGCTTCTACTTTTTTTATATAAACGGATGCACTATTTTCTGCTAGAAATTTTTGAGATTCAATCTAGAAAAGATATCAATAACATATTTTTTATTTATGAATAAAAAAGTTATAAAGGATAATCAAATATAATTTTATATAGCATTTACTCGGTAAAATTCTGCACTTTGTTGTAAAAAAGGCCTTTCAAAATCTTCTTCATAAACTTGACGACTATTAATGCCAAGTAACATTAGCATATGGCATGCATTTTTTATAGCGATTCTATCAACAACTTCACCATGTCTTTCTCTTGCAACCATACCTAATAATGTATCTCTCAAATGATCTCTTACGCAACCATATCTAACCACCTATAAAAATAAAATCTTATATTTATAAAAGTTTCATCAAAGAAATGATTTTATATTATAAGATATTATAGTATTACCTGATCTCGAAATATAATAAGTCCTAAATTATATACGTTATCCACATCATTTTGTTGTACATAAACTCTATCCATGTACATTAAAATATCCCTGATCATTACCATTGAAGTTGTGTGATCATTCCATGCTTGATTTAATGTTTGTAAAAAGTTATTATGAAGCGAATATAAAACATCGTCTCGTACTTTATTTTCGAGATGTTGAGTTACTACTTCCTTTAATCCTGTGTAAAGCCGTTCACCATATTTATGCAAAACCATAGTATATGCATTTCGATATAATTCTTCAAAACTAAGACCAGAGTTATTTTTCTTTTGTATCTCTTGGATGGCATTTTTTAGTAAGGTCCAAATGGTTTCTACGTACTTTTCATCCATAGTGGTCTACAATACAAAAATAATATGATGTATAACAAGTATTATAATAAAAACTAATTGTTATGTTTTCAAATGTATATATGTTCAATTTTATAGTTAAACTTTTTAATGTTAATTCTTGTACTGCAGCATAAATTCCAAAATTACAATTATAAAAATTAATAAACACATTTTTATGGCATAACATAAATTAATATAGATATGTTTTCTCACAGAGGTCTTGGTAATAAGAAAAATATTTGCACTATCCATGTTTATTTTGGTATTCATGTTTTCCTTTACTATATGTGCTATTTCAATATGATTAAACAGATTCTTAAATTTGACATTTTTCCCTTTTTTTTTTTTGTATATATATATTTTTATAATTAATTTTTTTCTCCTTATAACGTTTTTTTCTTAAATCCAATTGTATAAATATGCATTAGATCAATTTAGATATAATAATAAGTTATCTGTATTACAGAAAATAAACATAGAACAGATCATTATAATAAATACATAACCATAAATATTTCAATGATAAAATCAAAACACAAATATAATGACAAAATATATATAAAATTAAATATATATAATTTAATATTAATAAAAATTGTATATATATATATTTCAAAAATCAATTATAAGAATATTTCATGATCGTATATCAGTTTTACTTAACGGAATATGATCTATTGTAAGAGAATAGTATGTGTAACATTGAATACATAATTTATCCTCTTGAACACATTCATACGTTTAATCAATGTTATACAATGTCTTCTAATGTAAATTTAATCTTTTTGTATTAAAGTTGATGCATTACATCTTACGTATATTGAAGCTTTATTATTTATAAGATAGAATTGCAGTTTTTTCTGAAGATAGTAAAAAAATTGTAAAACCTCAAATTTTATTTACTTCCTTAGTCGTTATAGCAACAATTGTTCCAAATTAAAGTTACAAATTAACCAATTTGATATTCATAAAAAATACTTCTTATATATAAATACTTATAAATATTATTATTATAAAATACCAATACATGTATATACATGGTATCCCAGTTTTATTCGCAAAATTTTACCAGCATATTCTAAAAGTAAAAATAAAAAAAATGTTATTTAAACATGTGCTTTTTTAAATATTCTTTTTCCTGTTTCCCACAAGTAAAAATTCATTAGCATGATATTTGGTGATTTTGAGGGCTAAAGAATTAGTCCTTTTTGATCTATCCATCGTTATTAGAGATAGTGATCATTTAACCATCATTGTATTGGTACTGCATAATGTACTAGACAATCATATCATTGGATCTATAAATGTTAACGAAACAATAATAGAATATCTCCAACTATTTCTGGCTGAAATTTATTTTGTATGAAATCTAAAAAGACTGTGTGCTGTTAACCTATAGTAACAAGTGAGGTCAAAATATATTATTGTTATATATTCAAATAGATATTAGCAATATGTTCAACGAAACATCAGACCATTATTGTATGACATTTTTTTCTTATTTTTACTTATAATATATGCTAGTAAAATTTTGTAAAAAAGAAACTGGAAACTCTGTATATATAGTACGAAACAATATATTTAACATACAATTATATATGCTATATTGAGCAGAGAATTTGTAAAGTTTTATATTGATTTTTCTTGTCGAATCAAATCATAAATTTCCATTACATAAGTAAACTATTATAAACTATATTAATAATTATAATATTAAAAGATAAAAAAAGAAACAATTTATTCTTATATCAGTAAGTAGTAAATTAAATATTTAAATAAAATGAATTTCTCCCAAACATTTTCTATACATTAACATATTGATGAATTGAAAAATAAGAACCATGCATATAAACGAGTTTAATTATAACTAACAAAAATTAATATATATTATTTTCGAATTCACTTAACCTATTCAATATAACGTTTTAGAAATAAGGCAAATAAAAGGTTAAAAAGGAAACTATAATATATAGAAAATAAATTTGATTTAACAGAAACGTACATAGAAAATTTTTTAAATACTTCGAAATTCGAATACGATTAACAAATGATATATATACATATTAACGAAAACGATATTATATTAAATTAGTGTTATCGAGAAATTTCATGATTTTTACTTTAATAATACTAATAATCATAATAAACTAAAAAAGAAGAAAGTGATGTGTATAATTAATAAAAATAAGGGAAAAGTAATATGTAAGTGTGATAAGTGCATAGCTATATATATATTTTTATATACATGTGTATATATAAATGCAATGGGAGTATATATACGTGCTACATTTAATAGCTTGATTATACTCTGTCTTTCTCCTTCTTTCTTTCTTTCTTTCTTCCATGTCGTTTCGATAGAGAGGGAAAGAAAGAGAAAGAAAAAGAAAGAAAGAAAACGATAGAGAGGGATAGAGATAGACGTACATATATATTATAATATCAAATTTTCTTACCGGAAAAGCACGTATACGCATTTTACCCTCCTTCTTTGGCAAAGCACTATTCTTCATCATGTCGAATGAAATGTTCAAAGAAGATTTGTATAAAATGATTACCCTCTTCTCTCTCTTCGCTTACGGTAATATCGTACTGTGTATACACACTGACATACCACTCTTAAACGTACCGAATATTCTTCATTCGCTCATTGAAAAACAGCCGAGGATCGGCTTCACAAGGTTAATCGCGCTCGACACTTAAACGCGATATATCTATATTATATGTGGTTTAGTAAACGAAACTTTTATTATCACTGGTGCATATTACAGTTACTAAGACGAAGGACTTGACAAGAAACCGAGATACTCTTCATACTCGTACACACCGAAATGGGGGAAGGTAGTTAAGGGTTGACGGGCAAGGGGGAGAATATGCAAGAAAGAAATGATACTACCCGAGTTCTGCAGCGGATCATAGGGAAAACTCGTACACATATAAAAGATGTCCGATTAATTCTTTCCAACTATCGATACTATTGTTTTTATCGACTACGATAATTAATTAAATTGAAATATTAATATTCGAATCTATCTGATTTAACAAGCCTAATTACTTTTACTACGCTCTCTATTCATATTCCCAGCCACAAACCAGACTAACGATAAACGGTATACGTGGATACACGAACACTCTCTTTGCTGCATCTTTCTTAAACAACAGATGGCATAACGGAACCATGTTTTATATTTTAATATTTATGTACTTATATTTAATATCTATGAATATTCCAAAATTAATTTTATGAATTATTTAACTATTAATCTAATTCAATTCTATTTTAGTTTCTAATTTAATTTATATATCATTTTTGGTTTATTTATAAAGATGGAGGAAATAAAGAAATATTTAATTAATCAAGAAAAAATTTGTCTCTTTTTTTTTTATAAAGAAATATATAATAATTTTTATTATGGAAATGTACCAATAATATTTGATTTTATCAAACTAGTTGTCCAATCAATGTTTTCGATTTAAATTGGATGTTTCATGGAAATGTACACATGTGTATATATATGTATATACGTTTTCACTAGCTGAAAATATGGAGTTTTTAAACGTCAAAGTGATTTTTAAATCAGCAACAGAAGAATCAATTGCAGGTGTTATGTTAAATTTATAATAAATCATCATAAATTAATATCATTTTTATTTATAACATAATGATTTTGAAAAATATAAAGTTATCTAATGTATAACCAAGTAAGTGATATATTGTATTTTTCAATTGATTAAAATAATAACTTATCAATTAAAATATGTTTTCATTATAAATATCTTACAATTTTCAGTGTCCAGCCTTAACTTGTTATAGAAGGAAAATAATAACATTCCATTTATATATTTGTAATTATATTAATTGATTAGAAATTAATATATATATGTATGTATGAAATGTACACTAGTGCTAAATGGAAAAAAAATCTTTATGAATTTACTGATTTACCAGACAATTATACAGACAGTACATTTTTGACCAAATTACGTAGGAATGTAAAATCAAATCATGTTTCTCGATTAGAAGCTATTAATTTAGGTGCAAGCATATCAATACGTTTAAGTATTCCAATTCTCTTTGCTATCATATTTATTTGGTTATATAATGAATGGACCACTCCGAATGTTATTATTATGTCAGAAATAATTTTAACCATTTTTGGATATTTGTATTATAATATTAAAATATTATATATGTCTAAGAAATTGTCAGAAGATCTTAGAACAACTTTAATTTTTCTTATTTTTGGATATACTTTATCACCAGTCTTGCGAACATTAACAGAAACGATTAGTACAGACACAATATATGCTATGACTATATTAATGTTTTTCATTCATTTAATATTTAACAAGTATGGTTCTTCGCAAATATTTTTTTCTGATTCTTTATCTATAACGTCATCTATTTTTGGTTCATTAATGTTAGCGTCCAGACTTGCTACCCCTTTACATGCATTTTCACTTTTAACTGTTTCAGTACAATTTTTTGTATTATTTCCTATATTATTGTCTCATATAAATAACAAACTAATAATATCAATCATAATAACCACAGGGACAATATATTTATTATTACCTATGTCTAAAATATGTTCTTATGTTTTTGTAGTAGTTATAATATTCATTCATTTCATTTGTCCACTTTGGTATATTAGATGTAAACAATTTAAAAATAATATTTATGGTCCTTGGGATGAAGCAATCATTGCTTCTTAACTACTATAACTTTTCTAATTCTAATAATAGTTTATCAAATAAAACAATTGTTTTTATTATTCTGTAACTATATCTTTTGTATTATCTCAACGTTTTCGTGTAATAAATATTAATGAAAAACGTAATATTGTAATTATAAGTTAAATTTAAATATTTTTATATTTCAAATAACAGATATATATTTCTTTTTATAAAATAGAATTCTCTATTATTCGAATCAACAGGTGTGATTATTTAGAAATACGCTAAGAATCAAATCACTGGTGGCGCAATGATCGCAAAGAAAATAAAAATAAGTATATATATATATATATATATATATATATAAATGTACATACGTAAATATAGACAACACAAGTATATATTTTATATTTGTATTGCTAATTTTCAAAATGTCTTGATGAGTATTATAGACATTTATTGATAATACTTATGTTTTATCTGTGGATTATGTGCATCACATATAGATACACATGTTTACATACCATAAAATGGAGTTTCATATAGAACAAATACAGTATCGTATATTCCTATAGCATTTTGCGTGTTATTTGCTTGAATATTTTTTAAAGTTCAAATTCCAAGGTTGCAGAATATTTTTTTTCTTCTATTTTTAAATGATAAGAAAGATGAAAATATCTTTTTAATAATTATTTCTCATATTAGAGATACATGCTTCTATCAAGATTATTAGGTTTGTAACGTTCAGTTGGAAAAGGGAAGGAGAAAATAAAATTAAACATAAAATTAAGGATAAAGATAAGAAGAAAAAAAATTTATTAAAAAATTATATTTCATTGTATATATGATAAAGTAGCCATGTTTTTACCCCACCGCTTCGTAAGAGTTAATACGTTTTTCTTAAAGGCTACACCTTGTTGTCAATTCGGTAGTAACAGTGTCACGTCATCGCGTCAATCGATTGAAAGATTTCTCAGAGGTAGTTCAATAACATACTCATTGGCAAGAACGTTTTCTATCTCATCAGTAAATATGGCGAAAATACAAGTAAGTAAAAATAAATGAATAAAAAAAATTAATGAATTAATTATGAAAAGAAAACAATTATAATCTGTATATATGAAAGTTCATTCAATTTTATCTAAATTATATAATGATTGATTTTTGAAAATATCATAAGATTTTAAAATGATAAAAAATGAGAAATGACAAGATGATAATGTTAAATAATGTACTTAATATATCAATACTTTATAAGAGATATATGTATATACTTACATATACGTAAATTATTAAGATGAATGATACATTTGGATATATTCTTATTAGATTATTTCTTATACGTTAAAATATCTTATTATAATCTTATTTTCAATATATATGCATTTATATAAATTATAACGTGTAATATGTTCAGAAATATTGTTTTTTTTAATATGCTTAGTCATAGACAATTGACCTAAAGAAACAGCTATTAGAAAGTATCTTCTTATTATAAATATTTTAAAATTATAGCTATTTTTATTCTCTTTTTTTAAATCATTGTTTTTAGGCAGGACCTGTCGTAGACATTCTTGGCGATGAAATGACTCGTATCATTTGGGATTCCATAAAAGAAAAATTAATTTTACCTTATTTGGATATCGAATTACATACTTATGATTTAGGTATAGAAAATAGAGATGCCACCAATGACCAAGTAACAGTTGATTGTGCAGAAGCTATTAAACGTTATAATGTTGGTATAAAGTGTGCTACTATTACTCCTGATGAAAAGAGAGTAGAAGAATTTAAGTTGAAACAAATGTGGAAAAGTCCAAATGGTACTATTAGAAACATATTAGGTGGTACGGTATTCCGTGAAGCTATCATTTGTAAAAATATTCCTCGATTAGTAACGGGTTGGAATAAGCCAATTATTATTGGCAGACATGCTCATGCAGATCAATATAAAGCAACAGATTTTATAGTACCAGGACCTGGAAAACTTGAAATTACATGGACTGGTGAAAATGGTAAAAAAGAGGTATATACTGTCCATGATTTTAAAAGTCCTGGAATAGCACAAGCTCAATATAATACAGATGAAAGCATATGTGCATTCGCTCATAGTTCTTTCAAGTTTGCACTTTCCAGAGAATATCCTTTGTATCTTTCAACGAAAAATACTATTTTGAAAAAATATGATGGTAGATTTAAAGATATTTTCCAAGAAATTTATGAGAAAGAATATAAAGATAAATTTGAAGCTAAAAAGATTTGGTATGAGCATCGTTTGATAGATGATATGGTTGCTTATGCGATGAAATCTGAAGGAGGTTTCGTTTGGTCATGTAAGAATTATGATGGAGATGTACAATCAGATTCTGTAGCTCAAGGATATGGATCATTAGGGCTTATGACATCTGTACTAATATGTCCAGATGGACGTACAGTAGAGTCAGAAGCTGCTCATGGTACAGTTACTAGACATTATCGTCAATATCAGCAAGGTAAAGAAACCTCTACCAATCCTATTGCATCTATTTTTGCTTGGACTCAAGGATTGCTTCATCGTGCTAAACTGGATAAAAATCAGCAATTGAAGCATTTTGCTGAAACTTTAGAAAAAGTATGTATTCAAACAATAGAATCAGGTTTCATGACTAAGGATCTGGCTATCTGTATTAAAGGAATGCATAATGTTACTAGAAGTGACTATTTAGAAACATTTGCTTTTATGGATAAACTTGCTGAAAATTTAAAAAAAGCATTGGCTACTAATTGACTATTTGAATCAGAACAAGTTTTACGTGCAAAATATTAAGATCATATTTGTATTTGTTATATAGACAAAGAATTGTCAAAATATATTCAGTTATTAGTAAATAGCTATCATTTTTATAAGATTAACAAGGTGATATATAAATATGGTTTCGGAATATTATTTTAATTATGTAAAATTTTATATTAGTTATATAATTTAAAAATGTAATTTCCTCATCGATATTGTTTTTTACTATTTTTTCTTATGTAAAAGCAAAAAAGGAGGAAGCTGTATATAAGGATTTTTTATATGGAGATATGATTTACAAATTTGTAATCAATAAAATTGTATGAAATAAATAGATAATTATTATGCACAATCACTAATACAATATTTATATTTATGTAGATTGATTTTATTGCTTCAATTATCAATCAACTCTATTAAGGGTGTTAAAAATTGAATAAGTTTTTTAATTACATTGTTCGAATAATAATAAAGCTGTTCTTTTTCGAAGTCTCCTAAATAAAATCTGATCCACAGATGTGTGTTTGTGTTTATTTCCATCACAAATTTATATAATTAACTATCTATTTAAATATAAATTATACTAAGGTACTTTTGTCAATAATCTAATAATTGAGCTACAATTTTTATGATACTCGTTTCTGCGTCTAATGGGATGACTGTACGAAACAAGTCATATAATTATTTATGAATTCTACTATGATATTTACAAGAGTTTGTACTTTAAAAAATATTTTAGTTAATAATTATAATACAAATTTACAACTTTTTTTAAAGAATATGATGGCGTCAACGATGTCACTGACAATGACATAATTTGCGTTATCGCATTAAACGGACGATGTTGTTGGTATAATCAATCTCGAAAGATTTGATAAGAAAGTTTCTTTCTGATAATTTTCATCGTTCGTTACAGTATCTGTTTTTTTTTTACCAATGAACCAATACTTTTTATTTACAAGCAGTAAAATCATTAGCACAGGTAAATAGACCAATGAAAAACGAAAGAGTTTTCTAGAACTCGCGCTATCTGAGTTTTGGTAAAATTTCCAAGCTGTAAATGTAAAAATGGGAATAAAATATTAATAAACGTTAAAAGTTATCACAATATAAAGAAAACAACTTACCAAGATATAGAAAATAAGAGTTTAGCGGCGTTGACATAGCAGCAAAGTACCAATTAGTTACATCTAATACAGGAGCTAAGTAAGACAACCCCATTAACGCAGCCGTATATCTTAATGCTGTTTTACGACAAAGATTAGGATTCGTAACGGACATCATTCTATAGCCTGCACGTGAATAATCAGGTCTCAAATTCCAAGATAAAGCATTAAAATGAGGAAATTGCCAGGCATACAAAAGACCAGACATAATCCAAGCTCCTGGAGCCATTATGTCGCCTGTGCAACCTGCCCAGCCCATAAGTGGTGGTATGGCACCGACTATAAAAAGAAAAGTCAAAATATAAGAGGAGTAATATTAAATAGATTAGATTAATTAAAAAAAGAAAATGATTTTACTTACCAATAGAACCGACCCAAGTGTTAAGAATACTAATACGTTTCATAGGAGTATAAATAAGAGTATATAGAACTAAATTAATAGCACCTAACATTGCAGTTATAGGATTGACTTGACTATATAGTATGGTTAAGCCAGTTACTCCTGATAGAGTTGCAAATAATACTGCATGTACCGGACTGATGTTAAAACCAAAGGAGAATACAATTTTAGTTGATTTTATCGTAATACCATGATACATTAAATGTTGACTTACGTTAATTGTCCACGGACTAAAACTCTATTCTTTGTTCTTGACATCTGTGCATCGAAAGGAACTTCAAAAAATTGATTAACAGCATTAGCAGCAGAAGATACTAATGCAGTGCCAACGGAACACATTGTGAATGTATATAAGTCAAACATGCCAGGTGCTATCGCATATCCACCCATGGTTGTTATTACGACTAAAGCTAAATAAAAGAATTAGAGGCATTATATTAAAATAGTTTAGAGAAAGTGATTAAAAATAATATATACATTATTTTACTTACAAGTTAATCTAATTTTAGATAACTTCAGACAATATTTGTGAAGATGTGCAAACTCTACTTGCATAGGTTTCCATTGTGGTTCTTCAAATGGACGGGTTGTTTCCTTGTTACTATTAGGACTAGAAGTTTTTGGTAAAACATATTTGTCAGGATCTAATGTTATTTGTGTATTCGCAGGACTAATATGATTGTAGTTTTTTTCTCTTATTTCTATACATGATTCGTGCATATTTACAACTTCTTTCGACTTTTGTTTCGAACATGTGGAGTACTAAAAGACATGAATATCTTTAAATGTAGTATTCTTTCAACAATATTTTAGTTAAAAATAAATAAATATTAAAAGTTATATTCATACCAAAGTGGTTAATAGTTTCGATGTCGAAGTGCATGGTAGTAGATTGCGACATATTCGTGGGGTGAAAAAGTATAACATCATAAAAATATTCTTGATAAAAAATCAAAGATAGTTTATTTTATCCTATAAAACAAGATAAAAAAATCATATTATTAATCAGAAAAATATAAATATTCTGTCATAAATATTATTATTTAGTTATAGAAAAAGAATACATTTATTAACATATCAAATAACTTACATTATTTTTCATGTATTACTATTTTATCATAGTATCAATGTTGCATAACGATAATTTGTAAACTCTTTTGACATACCAAATGTATTTGTAATTTTAAAAATAAATCAATAGATAACATATATCTAATAAATACAAAAATAATCCTGTATAACAATTTTACTTATTATTACATGTCCACTATAACCCTCTTATTCATAGCTTTTTGGTCCAGTGCATCCAATGACTAAAACGTGACGACATTTTGAACGTTCGTAACGCCACGTAGGAACAAGAAAATGAAACATAATTTAAATTAGTTGCAAATTTGCAAATATTATTTACATTTTTATTATTTAATTGTAAATGAATAGTTTAAATAATTAAGTTGATAATTGAAACTTATTTTTTGTTATTGTTACATTATATACATATATATAAAATATAAATGTAATTTAAAAATTAGACTTTATACGTATCTATAGATAAGATTATAGAATATATATATATATGTTACGAGTGTGTTACGGATGGTACTGGTACGTTCGTCGGCTATCTGAACGAGAAAAAATGTTAAGGTTATTACGGTGTATGTACTTGCACTTATATTATTAATTGTATATAAAATGGCATTAATAAGAACGTATGAACGTTTATATTCGATAATTTAGTTGAGGGTTATCGAAAAGAATATTAGAAAAAATGTTAGTGAATCAACAAAATGCAATGTTCGTACGCGTCGGTTCAGCTCTGTTTTACGGAGTATCGTCGTTTATGATAACAGTGGTGAATAAAATGGTCTTAACTACCTTTGGTTTCCCATCTTTTCAAGTATTGGGAATAGGACAAATGTTAGCAACTATTTTCGTTTTATTCTTGGCGAAGAAGTTACGTTACGTTGACTTCCCTAACCTCGAAGTTGCGACGTTTGTTAAGATCTGGCCATTACCAATGATATATATTGGTAATATGATTTTTGGATTGGGTGGTACGAAACAACTCAGCTTACCAATGTTTACTGCTCTAAGACGATTCAGTATCCTCATGACAATGATTGCGGAATACTACATTCTCGGGATCAAGGCTCGCGCTTCCATACAGCTTAGCGTCTACACCATGGTGCTGGGTGCCTTAATTGCTGCATTAAACGATCTTGCCTTTAATCTTGAGGGTTATATCTTTATATTGTTGAATGATATTTTTACCGCCGCAAATGGAGTCTATATGAAGAAAAAACTGGATTCCAAGGAACTTGGAAAATATGGATTGATGTATTATAATTCACTCTTCATGGTGATACCCGCAATCATGATGGCATGGTGGACAGGAGATATTCATATGGTGTCTAAATTTCCAGATTGGACTAATATTTTATTCGTTTTACAATTTGCTTTATCCTGCGTTATGGGCTTTATATTATCTTATAGTGTTATTCTTTGCACGCTATATAATTCTGCATTGACTACTACTATAATAGGATGTTTAAAAAATATTTGTGTAACTTATCTCGGTATGGTCATCGGAGGGGATTATATATTTTCTTGGATTAACTTTGTAGGTTTAAATTTAAGTGTTGTAGGTAGTCTAGTATATACATGGGTAACCTTCCGTAGAAAGGAATCGATAGAATCTAAATATTCTCCAATTAATCAGGAAGAAAGTTCAAGAATACAATCTATATGATGTACAGTAATATTTAGCACGTGTTTTAACATGCTACTTGCACAAACAATTTAGTATTTATAAACTGGAAGTATTGCTGCTGCATTGCATTTAAATCTGAAAGAAAACTTTTTTTTTGCCGAATGAACAATTAAATCCATAAGGGAGTGAACTTAAGTCACGTGAAAAATATTTTATGAATATGGAATTATAAAGTAGTTGTTAAGTCCATATTTTTATACCGTACATTCAAATGGTGATAATATCTTATACCGATAATTATGTGTTAAGTAGTAGCTTTTATTAATGTTCCTATCTAGTATGAATCACCTGACTGTTGTGAAAAGTTTTATGGGTGACTGTATGTAGATATGAGAAATTTTGTTGTAATACATACCAAAGTAAAGAGAATTATTGTTACCGGCAGGATTATAGTGCCATAATAATACAATGGCATACAGTCCAAAATTAGATAGATAATTGTTAGTAAAGTGATTTAAAACCAAGGTCACAATTTTTAGTCAAACATACACTGTCATGTATATTATAGGAAAATAAATATCAATAGTGTAATCTAATTTTTATCTAAGTGTATAAGTTGTACAGAAATAAAATTTATTTATTAAGAACTCGTATCAAATTGTCATTTACCTTGATCAGTTTCAGAGATTTCAGCGGTACGAAGATATTCTGCATACAAAGCCTTTGAAGAAGATTATGCTAAACATCATGTATTTTTATCTTCCTTTCAACGAGCGGCTCTCACAGTAGGATCAGCAGTTATATCACTGGCTGACCCATCCCGTGGTGATATGATTGCATGTCTTGCAGAAACTTCATCTGGAAATGCCCTTGTACACTGCCTGAATAAAATGAATAAATCACCCGAAGGCCGAAGAATTTTAAGAGAAAGACCGCGTATAAATAGTTCGACCATTGATTTATCATTATTGAAAAAATTACCAAATGGCACTGTTGGAAAAACATATAGCAACTTTTTAGAAATGAATGTAAGATTTTACTATATTTGTTATAGATTCCTGTTTTTTCAAATGTTTGGATTTATTAAGTAAATAATATTGCTTGAAGAATGTACAAGTTATTTTTGTTGAATTTCTTTTTTGTTTACATGGTTGATTGCATTTTAGATAAATTAAGCTATTTTTAAATTATTTAGATATTTTTAGATTTATTTTATTCCAGTGTTGAAAAACTCTTTCTAGAAAGTAACACCAGATTCTAGGATACCTACCAGATTTATCGACGATATTGAACAAGCATATGTAATGCAACGATATCGTGAAATACATGATATATGTCACGCTGTTTTATTGATGCCTACAACGATGCTCGGAGAAGTCACAGTTAAATGGGTAGAAGGACTTCAAACACAATTTCCAATGTGTATAGGAGGAGCTATATTTGGAGCGGCTCGTTTGCGTGCAAGGTAAACTAAAAATTAGCACAATACGATTTTTTATTTACTCAAACAACATCTTTTTTTAAAATAACATCTTCTTTCAGGCAAAGAAAATTATATCTGAATCATTATCTTCAATGGGCAATAAAGACTGGAAATAATGCTGAATTTTTACTAAATGTTTACTTTGAAGAACGGTGGGAACAATCTCTCAAAGACTTTCATAAGGAGATGAACATCGTTTCTCTTATTCCATTATCAGAATAATATAAGAATGTGCTGTGATAATGTATGTATGTATCATATAAATGTATTAGTTATAGCGATAGTTTGTTGACTGATATCATTTATTTAGACTGTTCTTATATAAAGGCTGCTATTTATTGGATCAATGTATTTAAATATTTTTAATCAGTATAATAAATAAATGGTCAGCATATAATAAAATGACAAAATGAATGGTCATTATTACATTGAATAATACAAAGCTTTGTTAGTATTATATAGATAATTAGTATTCATAATAAAATATCAATATTTATTTATTAATTATAATAGTATTATAAATATTAACCATTTATTTAAAACACTTACAAAAAATGTTTACAAAATATTGATCAAATAAATAAAAGTATTATATAGAGAGCAAAAAGATCCTTAGTAATTTTATCTGTAAAAATTACGAATTATTTACATGATATAACAATTTTTATTGATTATAACACTGGAAATATTAAGAATATAATTTTTAATGGGAATACACATGACTCATATTACAAATTTGGATTACTATACCTACGAGCCTATGAAATGTTTGATAAAAGTCGATAAAATAGTTTACCATCGTAGAGAAATGTGTAGGTGCGAAATGTGCGACCGCGTAATTATGTTTACGCGTTACACGTGTCAATTTTTACGCTCCTTTTTTTTAAATTTTTCTTCCTCTTTTTTTCTTTTCTTTTTTTTTTTTAATTCGCGCTGTATACATCGACAATTTATAAGGAATAATTATAATATAATATACCTATTATCATTCGATGAAGAAGTTAAAAGCTATTTTTAAACGAATGAGATTGTAAACAATCTTCTTAGTAAATTAATTAACATTTAGTATTCTAAAATATTGCACAATTTATAAAACGATAACTTTGCAAACTTGATTGTCCATTTTCATCTATAGTGGTGTAAGTATATTTTAAGTACAATACTTCGTTCCCTAGGTCCGAGAAAAATTCAACGAAGTATTTTGCCTTATCATTCGTCGTTATTTTAAGGCAAAAGGTCCAGAAGTGAAGATTTATTTCTTTATATTATTATTATTATTATTAATTATTAATTATTATTATTATATTAGTATTATCATTATTATTATTTTTATTTATTATTATTATTTATTATTTAATATTATTATTATTATTATTATTATTTACTATTATTATTATCCACCTTACGATTTTGCTTTTACTTACATTGAGGATTCAGGAAAAAATAATCCCTTTTATAGTTGTATTTTTTGTATGTGACTAAGTGCACGATCGAAGGACTCTTGCATATACAAGGTGGCCATTCATTGATAATCTTATAAAAATTACATGCTAAAGAGCCACAGTTTTAGTTTTTAGCAAGAAGATGATGATAGTTCATTGAATTATTTAGCTATATATCTGCTTTCTTTGTGCATACACATACATATACGCATATGTGTATATTGCGTATGTATACGCAAATAGAAAACTATGAATATATATATATATATATATTTATTTATTTATTTATATTTTCTATCTAATATATATATATTAGATAGTTTATTCCATTTCTTCATAGCATTACTTTTGCTATATACTTTCTTATATACTATTACTTTAATAATATGTTCAATGGAATTGGCAAAAATGTAACGATTCGAATAATATTAATATTAATATTAAGTTCACGCGCACATGCAGGTTTGTGATATTAACCGGCCAAATTTCATTTTTCTATCGTCAAATAATTGATGAATATAATACGCGAGGCCCTTTATTCATTGAATTAACATTTAGCAGCGTTTAAAAGTTAAGGTGGTTATTATTTAATAATGCGCGAGAACTGTATATCATTATTAAAACTATCATCTTACGATATTAAGTTATATGAAAAGCATGTGAGAAGTTCTCAAATCACACAAATCTTCGTTACCTTAAAATGAAGAACGATCACACTAATTTTTTATAAAAAAGTTTTCTTTTTTTTTTCTTTCCTTTTTTTTGCGTTTTATCCGAATCCTTATAATTTTATAAATAGATATTATATAATAATAATAATAATAATAATAGAGGATCGGAATTAGATAAACCTAGATGAGCATTATAAGTTAAATGGCCAGAGAGCATCCTACGTTTAAAGGAGTAGTGTGAATGATGATAAGTAAGTGAAATTCACATACACACACGTACACGCATTGTTGCCATAGGAATAGAATAATTAAACGATCATCGTAATAGAAGGAAGGATAGAGGCAAATATGTAGGATGCATCTTGGCTGATTGTAATTAATTTGGTCCGCGCTTCTGGAGCGAGTCTCGTGTTGTTATATTATATTTTAATCGAAAGCCAGTCTCTTTAAATAGAGGTAGATCTCCTCAAAGGTAGGTCTGTTCTCAGGCTGTTTACTCCAACATTTAACCATCATGTGGTATAAATCAGCGGAGGAGCACAATGGTTGGGATAATACTCGTGGTTGATTCTTTTCACTGTTACCGCTATTATTGTAGCCTGGATTATGATTGTACCAACGATCGTAATTTTCTAATACTTGTTCCGAAGTCAAATCTGAATAAGGTATTTCCTTGCATCCTGTTAAAATCTCCCAGACCGTTATCGCGTAAGACCATATATCGGCACGACAAGATTGTTTACCCTTAGAAAGTCAATTAGATTTAATTTAATATATTTCAATGTGTGTGTGTTTTTTTTATATATTATAATTTCTTTTTTTCACATCGACGATTAAAAGAAAGAACGAAGAAAGATAATTATCTTACCAGAATCACCGCTTCCCAGGCCATCCAACGAAGTGGTATTTTCTTATAACATCCATCAACGTAATATACGTGATCATATTTGTTGCAATATATCGCATGATCGGACACTTTTACTGATAAATTTTGATTAACTAAGCAATTCCTAAAAATATATACACATATAATGATTGTTAATTGGATACTAATTTTTGTTTGGTTTTGTTTTTTGTCTCTTATTTATTTATTATTTATCATTAATACCTGGCTGCCAAGTCGCGATGTGGTATGTTTAAATTCTCAAGGTACTTCATTCCTGAGGCAATTTGCATGATGAAATTTAAAGAGCATTCGTAGCTGTTGAATGAATGATACCAACGTTATATATAAATTGTTATTGGGTAATGTAAAAAAAAATATATGTTCTTACTTCAGCGATGATTCGTTTTCAGATTTGCGACGATCTTCCAAAAAACTTGGAAGATCACCCAACTCGCCGTATTCGAACACAGCACCAAAAGGTTCTTCTTCGACCAAGGCAATTATCCTTGCGATGTTAACGTCACGAATGGTTGCCAAAAAGTGCATGTCATTCGTAAAATCTTTCCTATTTTTTTAACGATAATTTCAAATTAAAATTGCATCATTTTATATATAGATCTTATTTTTTTTTAATTAAGTATAACTTACTTAAGAGAATCTACGACACCACGCCAGAGAGAACGAACTACAACAACTTGTCGATTTCGTATACTTCCAACATCTGGATTTTGAATACCCTTAGCTTCACAAAGATGCACCTATTATAAATGAATATAAGTTTTTTATTTATTAAAAATATATTTATTATTACGTTGATAATGCGTGCGAAAATAAACGCATTATTACCAATCCGAAGCTTCCTTCACCAAGCTTGTCAAGAATTCTTAATCTGTGTCTAGAAATTCGTGGAATGTCGCAAGAATCTCCATTACTCGCAGAATTAGTGTTATCTCTAATATGTAAAGGCGTGAATAGACTGAACACGGATGATTGTTCTCGCCTTTTGATCTGTAAAAATATTATTAATATGAAAGGTTATAAATTCTTTGATAATAAATCTTATGAATAAATTTCGATATTTTACCGTCAATATATCGGTCGCAGCATAATAACTTTCGTAAACTTTATGATTGATTTTTCCCGACTGCGTCGACTTTGATTTCTTTATCGGAAAGGGCGTAGATGCAACACGATTTCCTACTTTGTAACTGGAAAAGTTACAATCGCTGTTGAAGTCTAGAAAAAAATTTAATTATATATATATTAATAATTTGTCACGAACTTTTTCGGCAAGAAAAAAATGACAATATCTATCTATTTATTCAAATAAATTTATCAAGATCGTTAATAGATTGTATGATATTTTAAAATAAGAAAAAAAAAACATGTGTGCATATCACACAAGTTAGAAGTGAAACCTTCACATAAACAAATTTCGAGGATAATTTATTATATAATATTATTATAACATTATTTGCACGTTTAATTTGTCATTATTTATTTAATTATCAATTTAATTATAAAAATGCGTGCCTATTCATATGCAACCCTCCAGACACACTTTGAAAATGTTACTTGCGAGTGCTATCTACTGGGACGAAATTTTTTTGCAGTCAAATCTGTTTATACACGTATGTATGACGGGTTGCCTATCTTTCGGGCAGAAAAAAATTCCGTTCCGACAGATGTCGCTAACAAGCAACATTTTCAAAGTGTGTTTGGAGGGTTGCATTTATACAGGCGCGCATTTTTATAATAAGTACAAAAAAAATAAATAATAAAACACTTTAAAAAATGCTTGCAAGTCAAATATTTTTATAAATAATGATAAAAATTGAACTCCGATATTGTAATTAATTTATGCATATTTTTAGAATAATATTTAGTATTTTGTATGAAATAAAAATAAAAAATCATGTATGGAGTCGCACACAAACATACACATATACAACCGGGAGCGATAACTACGAAGCAGAGCGTAAAGAGAAAATCATACCCATTCTAAAGAAGTTTCCATTTCAAAAAGCAAATCAATTAAAAAAAACTTACCAGAGTATTCAGTATTGTAATCTATCGACGACAATAATTCACTTTGATGTGGTCGCGCATCATATACATGATTATCTTCCGAGAAAACTTTGTAGGTTCTTTCGTATGCGCTCGAACGTTCATACATTCGTTCAGAATTACGTCTCTCCGTTGTACCACGAATACTGTCGTCATCGTTTGTAAGACTTTTACTTTTGACAGATAATCGTGACTGCGATAAACCATTGACAACGATTGGGGTCGCTAATTTAACGTCTTTCATGTTGATCGTGATGCCTGGTGCCGATGAACCGCACAATAAAGCCGTATGCTTTTGTAATAGAGCAACTTTGTTGCGTCCCCTTTGTTTCATCAAAAATATCGTACAAGTTAATAGCAAGGCTATCACCG